CCACTCGTGAGGTAAAAAATGATGTTGAGTTCGGTATCAGCACTGTCATGCGTCGTATTTTGGAGGACAGCGAGGATCCTCTGGGCTTGGCAGGACTCCTAGAAAATTTTGCTTGCCAGTATGTTCAGGCAGACTCGGACGTAAAGTCTCGTATACTCAAAGATGGGATTGAGAACGGCCGCGGAGATGTCATCATCGGGTTTGAGTCCGCCTATCTCACAGGCACATTGAGTGATATGTCCCTCTCTTCGAAAAATAAAGTTACACTCCACGGAAGTGGCGGGGGGATCGGTGGCGAAAAGTCGGGGCAAGTCGAAGGCAGGAGGCATTCAGTAGTCGGCTCTGTATTCAAAGTGGTTCACGTTCAGCGAAGAGTCCTTGGGACGGGGACACATCGGATTCGGATAATGGGACGACCTTTCACGCTTCGAGACTTGGGCGACAACATGTTGCAGGATATGTTCCGCGAGGCCTTTCCCAGCTTGGCAAGGCGCACAAAGAAAACAGTTCAGCGAGTAGTAGGCGGAATTTTCCGGAAGAATGCAAGTGACAGGGCAGACCAACAAGGCAATCACGGCAGCAAGGGCAGCTAGGACGATGAAGATGTCGACGTATTTGGTTCTAACTTTAGACCCGCTGTTCAGTGACCAAGCTGTCGATTTCACCCTTAATGACTCGTGGAATTACTTTTTCAAGCTGAAGAAGAAGACATTCGTCAAGATGCTACGAGAGCTTGAGGCGGACGGGGAAACCACCTACGGAAATGTGGCGTTTACCCACTTGTCGGTGGTGCGTGATTACGATTTGAGTGACTATATCCCCATCTATTTCAATTGGGAAGCGCACAACTACGACGCATCTGAGGTGCCATCGCGCGTCGTTTGCTACAAGACCCCGCAGGCGGGAGAATGGTGCCTCCGTCCGGTAGAGGGCGGGAAGGGGAAGACGGTCGTAACTATCTATGACGAGAAGTGGCAAGTGCGCGAGTCGATTGTTCGAGTGTCGAACGATGACACATACCTCCAAGAAGAACTGAGCAAGATTGGCTTTCACTTTGTAGAGGAAGGGCAGAAGGACTTGGAGGCCGTCGAAGGGTCCACTATGATGGGGCGTCACGAACTCACCCCCAAAGACGATCTGGGTACTACGATTCCAAACAGCGTGCTTGAGTTTCGTGGGGGGTTGCTCTACACTATGGGAAGTGACATGGCTGAAGCAGGCGCCAGAGACCGTTCAAGCACGCCTGTTATCACCAGTGCCGCGGAACTCCCACCGGCGCCTGTGGTCACGCTGTTGACTAGCTACCTTTAGCTTGGATGTGCTTCCGAATGTGTGGCACAATACGGGTACTAGTAGTCTAGTAACATAGAGAGAGAGAGACTGCTGAACTGGTACCGGTAGCGTACCAGATACCGCAATTTCGCGTTTTCGCACCTTTCAAGACTGTCTAAAGATTCAGCTAATTCCAATGGAGAATGCCTTCCCACGAGAAAGCTATCATTGGTGTCAAAAGGATTTCAACTCAGGCTAGCAGGAGCTCCTGGTTCATGCCAAGCTAGTAGTAGGGGTTACACAGCCTGGGCCAGGTGTACCGGTAGATCCAGGTGTTTGGACCCGGTCTAATTCTCAGAGTTGGTCTGGTTGGTTGCGCCAAATGCACCTCTCCAGAAGCTGAGGCAGGGCGGGTTGTGGTGTTTGCTGCACCAGATGTAAAACATTCACTACTGTACCTGCGGGTCCAGACGAATGATGAATCGAATCAATCTCCGAAGCAGGCCTGGCCTACCGGTAGCTAACAAATATCGGTACGATACAGAGTAGAACAGTGTCGAGTATTTTGCTGCAACGTGCAACTTCATTAGTTTTGCTAAAAGGGAACAGTACCGCATACTTCTCCATTAAGCACGGCGTTGGGTGCGATGTCCTGCTACCTACGAGTGACCGTCGAGTCTCTACTTCTTTGTCACGCGTGCATTCTTTCGGCTGGCTTTAGAGCAAACATTCTTTTTCGCCATCGTCTTCTTGGCACCTGTCTTTTTCTTTTTAGGGAGACTCTTCATCCATTCCCGGAGGCTGCTTTTTAGCTCCTTGCTCTTAACTTTCTTCAACATATCTTGGACCAGATTCTTATCCTCTACCTTTAAAACGTCCTCCTTGATCTTCTCCTTTTGGAGTTTGCAGGTGCGGCATCCCTTGTGGAAGGTGCAGGTCTTGTGGCCACACTTTTTGTTGGTCTTGGTCTCATGCTTTTCTGCGCAAGCATAATCATCTCCACAGATATTCAATCCACAGCATTTATGATAACGGCCATGGTCAAAACAAAATTCTCTATCGCATCTGTCGCATTTTGTTTTCTTGATCTTCTCAATGGCGCAACCATCGCAATAGCTCCCTTCATCGAATTCTTCAGCAGCAACATCGCAGCAACTCCAGCAATTGTCATCGCTTTGACATCCGCACATGCCGCAAGCTGTCCACATCGTGAGGATTCGAGTCTAGTACAACCACGTTGGTATTGGCACGGATAAGCTGTCCAATCGACAAACAAGCCAAAACTATGCGGCCACTGGACCTCTGTGGAAACTTGAGTCGTGCTACTTTTCGTCTCTTAAATCCTTTTGATCGTCTCCTATTTAATGGATTTCGTCTCCTAAAAATAGGAGACGAAACGGATCGTCTCCTAAATCTTTTGTCTCCTCTTAAAACGTCTCCTATTTTCAACGGATCGTCTCCTATTCTCAACGGATCGTCTCCTAAGTGTACCATGTAAACTGTATGGTATCGTCTCCTAAATCTTTCGGATCATCTCCTATTTCAAAATTTTCGTCTCCTAATTGGAATGTCTCCTACTGAATCGTCTCCTAAATGTAGGAGACGATTGCTTTCGTCTCCTAAATCATTTCGATCGTCTCCTATTCCTCGGTGTATCATCTCTTAAGTATTTTGCCAAGAATGACGTTTCCACAGAGGTCCTGTCCCTGTGAGGTGACAAAACGCGCCATTTGCGGTCACAGCAGCCGCGCAGCCAGGCGACTTGAAAGATGCTCCTCTCGCGGCATTTTTTCACTGGATCGTGAACCTGAACTCTAAATTGTATCATTGTTCGCTGCGCTGTTGACGTCATTGGTCCAGCTGCATGTTCTCACGTCGAACTTCTACTCTACGTGACCTGGTACCGGTACGACTGTACCGTAAAAGTATATCCCTGAACTGAGAGAAATACTGAGAGCCTGTACCTGTGGTAGCCATCGTACAGGAGGTATCGAGGTACCCAACACCTGGTGTATGCAAGGTCGATCGTTCATACCAGTGTCGACCTAGTGAAGGTCACGTCCTCGAGCATAAGAAAAATGAGGCTCGCACCTCTACTACTCACTGTTAAGATAACGTCGTTCGCACCTCTATTATCTCGAAAACGCACAAGTGCTAGCTAGCTAGTAGCTACCTACTAGTAAAATCGCTGGCTAGCTAGTGTACGTACGAACGTTCGAAAAGCACAAGTCCACGAAAAGCACAAGTCCAACACGAAAACGAAAAAGATCAAGTCCATGTAACAAACTCACTATAAGGCATGGCTACCATGCTGATTAAACTAAGGTCAACTTTACTGAGCACGAACAATACAAAGATCCTCATGCAGACTGCCCATAATGGTGTCCTGCTTGATGGCAGCAGTAATATTCAAAACACTTCCTTTGTAATGCTCCTCAATCTTGGAGATGACCCCAAGCTGGAGCTTTCTGAGCATTGACAAGTGTAGCCATGAGAGTCCAGAGTGGCTTCCTCCTGGAGTAGGTTGACTTGCAAGCCCTGATATCATCAGCAGTGAAGTTCTTGGCTGGCTTGTTGCCAC